GCCCATTGCTACTTAATAACAGTGTTTTACACAGCTCTTCCCCTGTTACTGATTTTCAGTTTCTTTTTTAATGCTCCTGCATGTGGAATTTCCTGTGACTGCCGTTTAGGGAGATTGAGATTCTGCAGTGGAGCCCATCGTCCCCTTGACTATGTTGGACTTCTGCTAACTCATCTGTGAACAGTAACTGATTCCTTTTATCTAATCTCAGGTTCTACTGACTTTTCAGGAGGTGACCGTGCATTTCACAGAGGAGGAGCAGGCCCTGATGGATCCAGGCCAGAAGGCTCTGCACAGGGAGGTCATGAAGGAGAATTATGGGATGGTGCTCTCTCTGCGTAAGTGAAAAAACAGGATATTGTAATGAGAGGATCCACTGACCACTCCCAACACTATTTCCTCCTTGAATCCTCTAGGGAGAAGCTAACAAAATTGCAAGTTTATCGCTTTGGATAAAAATACATATTTCGGAGTTTTTTTATTTAGCATTTTCAGACAGAAGATAATCTCTTAGATAATCCCTAAGCGTGATCCTGTGCCCACAGTTTATTCCTGGATTATTCCATACCATTGTTATGATTCAATACGGCCCCTATTTGTTCCACCAAACCAAGGAGCTTATGCTACTTGCCCCTCAGCTGCCACCAGTTGATTTCATCAACAATACCTATTATTAATGATAGATGTTCAGACCGTATGTCATTTTAAAAGAACCAAATAGAAATAGTTTCTTGATACACGTGTTGGCAGAATAAGCAATGTTGTTAACACTTAAACAAACATTCTTCGTTATCCACCCTCAACCACCATTCTCCCCCCCCCAAACTCCAAAATTCTCTTAACGCTCTAAGTCTCTGTCTCAAAAACCCATCAAAACTTTATCAATGTTTATTTAAATTCCTCCTCATTAGTCTGTTATACCTTGTGACTTCGCCCATCCAACATTCCCATTGGTCTATACAAATACAATATCAATATTCATGACGTGGGAGAACACCACAATTATTTTTCTTAAACTGGATGTAGGATTTGCTAGTCCAAATATGGGCATTTGGCCTAAAGGACATATTCCTACTGTAGGAGCAGCCTTCCCCTCTTCTTCCTGCCTCAGGCAAAAATGGCAGCTCACTCTACTGGCTTCTTTTTCTTTCTCTTTCTAATGGAGGTTATTTCCGAAATTGAGGGCATCTTCCTCTAAGATCATGTGTCTCTGTTTATATTTGCAGGCGACTGGAAAAAGAGTCATAAGAAGAATGAACAGAGGAGAGAAAAAATGAGAGAGAAACAAAAATGGAAAGAGAAATGTATTACCCCTCATGATGTAAGCCCAGGGACTGAAAGGTATCATTCCAGAAAGGGAAAAATTAAATTTCCCCAGGGGGAACGAAGTGTAACTAGAAGACCAAGACTGAGTTTAGCTACAAGAGTTTGTGAACTGAAGGCACAATTTCAGTGCACCGAATCTGGAAAGAATTTCAAGCAGCACCTGCAATTCATTGAACATCAAAAGACCCACATAGGAGATAAACCATATGAATGCTCAGGCTGTGGAAAGAGCTTCAGTGATAGGAGTAACTTTGCTCGGCATGAGAGAATCCACACAGGAGAGAAACCGTATAAATGCTTAGAGTGTGAGAAATGCTTTACTCAAAGGAATGAACTAGTCATCCATCAAAGAATCCACATAGGACAGAAACCATACAAGTGCTCAGATTGTGGAAAGAGTGTCAGATGGAGGAATAGCTTTGCTTTACATCAGAGAACCCATGCAGAAGAGAAACCATACAAATGCTCAGACTGGAAAGAAGTTCAAGTGGAGAAATAAACTCGTTACTCATCAAAGAATCCACACAGGAGAAAAACCCTATAAATGCTCAGAATGTGGAGAGAGCTTTGGTCGGAAGGATAACCTTACTACCCATCATAGAATCCATAGAGGAGAGAAACCGTATAAATGCTCAGACTGTGGAAAGAGTTTCAATAGGAAGGATCACCTTTCTAGCCATCAGAGAACCCACACAGGAGAGAAACCTTATAAATGCTCGGAATGTGAAAAAAGCTTCAGATGGTGGAATTGTTTTGCTTCACATCAAAGAATTCACACAGGAGAGAAGCCAGATAAATGCTTTTTTTGAACAAAATGGCCTGTTTTAGTAAAAAAAAAGGGGGGGTAGTCTTCCAGAAGATGAGGTTTTCTGCTCATGGGCTTAAGGGAGAAATGTATGCAGTCCGTACTAGGGATAAGGGTTTGGATTCCACCCCCAAATTGCCCAGTGTGTTTCTACAGCTTGACTGCCTTCTCCATTTTCCCCTCTCTCCTAGCATTTTATGAATCTTGGACCCTGGGTTAACCGTCAGTCCTGGTCAACTTCCACCTGAGCACTCTGGAATAGCGACAGTTATGCAAAATTAAAGGCAATGAAGATACCAGTGATTATTCTGGGGCTTTTGTGCCTCCATAGCAAGCGGTGTGCTCAGGACTCAGACTGTGGAAAGAGTTTCAATCGGAAGCATCGGCTTTCTAGCCATCAGAGAACCCACACAGAAGAGAAACCTTATAAATGCTCTGAATGTGAAAAGAGTTTGAATTTGAAGCAGAATCTTTCCAGGCATGAGAGAATCCACACAGGAGAGAAACCTTATAAATGCTCAGAGTGTGAGAAATGCTTTACTCAAAGTAATAAACTTGTCATCCATCAAAGAATCCACAGAGGAGAGAAACCCTATAAATGCTCAGAATGCGAAGAGAGCTTTGGTTGGAAGGATATCCTTATTGCTCATCATAGAATCCATAGAGCAGAGAAATCGTATAAGTGCTCAAACTGTGGAAAGAGTTTCAGTCGGAAGCAACAGCTTCCTGGCCATCAGAGAATCCACACAGGAGAGAAACCTTATAAAAGCTCAGTGTGAAAAATACATCACTATGGAGGTGACCCACTTCATGAACTAATCAGTATCTTAGCCAAGGGCGCTAAGTGTGGTTGGCTATCTCTGGCAGTGTTCCAGCTAGATGTAATTCACAAACAGGTTCCCAAAGAAAGTGCAGAAATGCGGAGAAAGGTTTGTCACCTTCCATCTCACTCTTTTGTCTGAGGAAGTGGACTTGATCCAAGAAGCTCATGTTAAAAGGGAGGAATTCTTTGTTTCATCTGTTAATAGCCTTAGAGACAAAAGGCAGCACAGAAATAATATAAATAAAATAGGTGAAATCAGTTTTCTTGTTTTTTCCGTTTTTGTTTTATTTGTTTTGTCAAATGTGTTCCCACCAATTAATAAAAGCTACTTCTTCAAACAACTCATCCCACCTCTTTCCTTCCTTCCAGGGTTCAGGTAGGGAACGTGGGAGGGGGGAGGAAAGAAAAACTGAACTTGTAAGTTCCCAGTTACAGGAAGTGCAGTTACTTGTAACTAGTTACTTCATCCCTTCTTTGGGAGAAATCTGTGCAGGATGTCGCTGGGGGGGGGGGACCTGAATGGAGCCTCAGGGGGAGAAGGCTCGTCCGGGAGGAAACGGCCCGGAAGAGAAAAGGGGGCAGAAGGGGCGGCCTGAGAGATATAGAGAGCGGAGGGGAAGGGAAAAAGGAGGCACACCTGAGGAAACAGTGGAGGGTCCGGAAAGACGCAGGACAGCGGAAGGAGCGGCCGGGGGACTCTTAAGAGTGGGACTAACGCCCTGGAACGGAGGGGCCTCACTGCAGCTACTCCCACCGCCCTCCCTTCCCGGCTCTCGGACTTGCCGACAGAGGAGGAGGAAGAGGGAGCGGAAAAAGACAGAGAGAGAGAGATAAAATATAAAAGGGATAAAGAGGGGGGAAACCCTCGCCACAGGCGAGAAGTCCCTTGGAAAGCAGGGAAAGAGAGAGTCTCGCTCCCTAGAGCGGCCTCAGAGAGGACGGAGTGCAACGCTCATCTCCTTCCCCGGGGCAACGCAGCCTGGCCTTTTCGCGTTCCCGCCCCCCAAGCTCAGGAGGTGGAGCCGTTGCCACCGCCGCCCTTCTCTTTCCGAGTGGGGGGGGGTCTGGTCAGTGTTTAGGGGGAGAAAGGAAGGGAAGGGGGGCGGAGGGCAGGATAGGGGCTCGGAGGGGCCTCGAACTTTCCATAGGGAGAGGCATCCTAGCAGAAAGACGCTTAGGGCCCTTTCTCTGTAAAACCCCATCAGGGATCTCCGTTCATCCATTCATCCATCCTTTTTTCGCTCAGTTGCACTAAGAGGGTGGTCTGGAGGGAAGCCATGAGAACCACGTCGGTGATAAGAAAAGTTCCAGCATTGAAATAAATTTGCATATTTATGCCGTCAAGTGGCCATCCTACTGGGTGGTTTTGTTTGTTTGTTTGTTTGTTTTTGTCTCCCAGTTCTGTGATATGTCCCAAAAAGTGTCTGGCCATTGTCAACCCCTAATAAGTATATTCATGACAGAGATAATAAATACCTCTGCTAGAGTCCTCAGAAAGGCAGAAAATGGAACAGACCCTTTGGAGGGACTTGCATGTCTCCTTCCCGGGAGAAAATCAGGCAAGAGGGCGGAGGGATATTGACGTGCTGGATAGCTCAGGGATTTGGGTCTTTGCCTGAAGGTCCGAAGGATGGGAGTTTGATTCCCTACTGGGTCTCCTTAAGAAGGGCTGGGCTCGATCGTCCATAAGGTACCTAACAGTTATGCAGTTCTAAGATTATTAAGCCATGTCTTCAGTCTTCATCTTGCTCTCTAGATATTTACTGGGAACAATAATACTGGAAATCTCAGAAGGGAAACCTCAGAAGATTTCTGGTTACTATGTTTCAACAAGAGTCACTGTTGGAGCTTTCTGAAAAAAAGAAACACAAAAAAATTAATAAAATTATGAAGTTGGAAGGGGCCTCAAATCAGGTTCTCCTTTTGGAAAAGAAGATCCTTCTAGTTTACTCACAACTGCCACCACCCATTACATATTTTAGATGCTAAGTTCTCCATAGTAAGTAGAGAAGGACAAACTGTAATATCA